TTTTCATGCAATATCCAGAAAGGAACGTTATTAAATCCCTTGTCGATGCTATTATTTTGAAGTCACTGACGCAAAGTCTCGGGGACAGTTGTTTTTTTTTTTATGAATCATAGATGTCTGTATGATTGATGTGATAGGTTTCTCAAGTCCGCTATCGTTCTTTCTAGTATTGATAGGAGTTTACTTCCTAACCTTTTAATTAAAGTAGCGTGGAAAGACAACATTTGATTATGTCATTATTTCCCCTTTTACATGTGCGATTCATTTTGGATGTTACTACTTTTGGAAGTGTTCGATTGATGTGGCTTTGTTATTTAGTAAAGTTCTTTGTTTGTGATTCTGTATCGCCAGTCTGTAAGATGTGATGAAGGATTTTCCTCTTTAAGACTTCGAAGGTTAATTCGCTTGAATCCATTTTTAATAATTGGTTTGCGAAAATGATTGTATAGTTTAGATATTTCTGTACGAGTTGAATGGCATTAACTTGACTCGAGTTCAGTGGTTAATATTTGGGTTTTGTTGTATATTGCGATGTTGGACAGAAGTATTCCTAGTGCACCGTATTCAATTTACTTATCTCTTATACGAAATTTGTTATATCTGATCCATATACCGAGAAGACATTTGAAGTGTTTAGAATTTATTAATTCCAGATTCAGAATTTTTATCGTATATTCGGGGAATTTGCCATCACTACTTTCATTCCAATTCCAGATCATAGTTTTGGAAAGGTTTATAAATCCTATTTCTTGGCGTACTTGGTAGAGGATGTTGATTTTCTGTTCAATATAATTATTATCCCAACTATGAATACTTATGCCATCGGCATAGCCCCACTCATCATCGATACACTGGCCTCTGTGGGGACACACAGGAACGCCGTTTTCTATTCGTAGATTCATTTTGGGTGTTATATTGAATGTTTAAATGATCAGTGCTCATTTATTCATATTTGTGCTTGTATATCTGTTCTGCATCCCGTGTACGCGTCCGTCTCGTATGAGTGCGTACCGAAAGGCAGCCAGATAAACGACTCTGAAGATGAAGTCCGGTTCATCAGCAGGTTTATTAAGCGCCAACAGGATAAAAATATGATGCTATTGTTGTTGGGAATAAGATTTAACAGGATAAGAAACATAGGAATCACGTTCTTGAGCCGATGCTTTATTGTGCTGGTTCCAGTATAACTAAGGAACAACAGGGAGTGGTTAAAACAGTGACTTACCTAAAATGTACGTAAACTGAAAAAAGGGACCAAGAAAGGCGAAGTAAAACAATACAGGTTTGTACTATAGCAGCAGAACATTGAGGCTCTTATTTCCTCTTTACAGTACACCTGATATCTACGACGTTGTGGATCGATACATTTCCTCTATCTAATCATTCAGTAGAATCAGAGCTTGGAAGATGGAAACGAAGATAGAATATGCGACTTTCAAAACAGCTTCAATATCAAGTGAAGCTTTATTTTTTTTATAACTTTCTTCACTTCTTAATCATTAAGTTCGTTGTTATTTCAATCTGGAGACAGACTTTGTAATGTTTGGATATACTGGTGTATATTCTATTTCTTCTGGCATCTTCAGATTGGTGTGGTCACGATTGATTGAAATGTGACTGTTTTTTGGGGGGAGTAGGACGTTTCTTCTGTTTTTTCTTTCATCTATGATATTTTCTTGATTTTTCTCTTTATCCACATTTCAACACATAATATATGCTGTTTTAGCGTTATTGATTTGGTTTCCAATTTTCAAAAGTTGTTGGTTCCTCAAAGCATTAACTAGGTTTCTTATTTTCTTTGCTGTTTAGTGTGTTGCGGGGCCGAGTAGGATGTCGCCCCCGCAAGGTTTTTATGTAGATAAATGTGAACAGCCAAGACAATGACGGGACAAAGGCAAAGGTTTTGGTTATGAACAAAAGTGTCGAATTTATTAACACGTTTACATCGGTGTGGTCCGGTATGACTGGTTGATCGACGAACGTAGCTGGTTCGGTCGAATGTAGTTGATCCGGTCCGGTAGTTTAGGATTGGTAGGCGAACGTAGCTGGTTCGGTCGAATGTAGCTGGTTCAGTCGAATATAGTTGGTCTTGCCCGGTAGTTTAGGATTGGTAGGCGAACGTAGCTGGTCTGGTCCGGTAGTTTAGGATGGGTAGGCGAACGTAGCTGGTTCGGTCGAATGTAGCTGGTCTGGTCCGGTAGTTTAGGATTGGTAGGCGAACGTAGCTGGTTCGGTCGAATGTAGCTGGTCTGGTCCGGTAGTTTAGGGTTGATCTGGCCCGGTAGTTTAGGGTTGGTCGGCGAACGTAGCTGGTTCGGCCGAATAGCGAAGACGGAGTCCCTAAACAGGGCCAAGGCAGAACAGTGATGCGACTTCACAGGGCGGATCGACCGCGGAAACGGGATCGCGCCAAAGTGTATCACCAGGCGAAGATGGTGTCCCTAAACAGGGCCAAGGCAGAACAGTGATGCGACTTCACAGGGCGGATCGACCGCGGAAACGGGATCGCGCCAAAGTGTATCACCAGGCGAAGATGGTGTCCCTAAACAGGGCCAAGGCAGAACAGTGATGCGACTTCACAGGGCGGATCGACCGCGAAAGCGGGATCGCGCCAAAGTGTATCACCAGGCGAAGACGGAGTCCCTAAACAGGGCCAAGGCAGCACAGTAATACAACTCCACAGGGCGGATCAACCGCGGAAACGGGATCGCGCCAGAGTGTATCACCAGGCGAAGACGGAGTCCCTAAACAGGGCCAAGGCAGCACAGTAATACAACTCCACAGGGCGGATCAACCGCGGAAACGGGATCGCGCCAGAGTGTATCACCAGGCGAGGCAGGTCAGAGAGGTGTTACACCTTCCAGGGCGGATCGACCGTGGAGACGGGATCGCGCCGAAGAGTAACACTCTCGACAAAAGCACCGGAAGTTCACAAAGGTAGCGTACTACACTTTGATCCAGGCCGAGATTTATTTTGTAAAAAATACAAAATTGTGGCACAAGGCCGAAAAGGGGGAGGGGGTAAGGCTGGTCTTCACTAACTATCTTATACCTAGCTAATTTGATTCACGACCCATTCAGACATTACAATTTACTCATTCACCATAAGAACTCGTCCGTCATCAATCAATCCTCCTTGCACCATAATACCACATCCACTCTAGGGAGACCTACAAAACGCGCCCCATGTCATAATGATCCTAACACATATGTACAAAAATTCTAAGATGAAAAAATGAGATGGGGTGGGATGTGAACCCAATAACAAACTAAAATATTAACATAAATGAAAATAAAACGTTAACTGATGTTAGTAGGGCCCTTCCAACCCTCAAAATGCAGGGAGACCACTGTATTCTGCCCATTGGAACAAAATCAAGCAGCTCTCTCGCTAAGGGAGTGGGAAAGGTGATAAAAAATCATACGGGCATGGGGAAGTATAAAGCTGACCCAGTCGAGATAGAAAGTGGGGGATCAAAAAACAAACTGGGGAGGTTGGGAATCTCAGGCTGGATCATAACTAAAGATGTGGCCGGGGGCAGGCCGGGAACAACACTTACTCGCATTAACTAGGTACACTGGGCGACAAAAGTGGCTAAGAATATTTGGAAAGAGTTGTTCAAGTGCTCCCTGGCTAGAGGGAGTAGAAGACCGTAGATAATTAATTACTGTCTATGGTTGCTGATGTTTGGAATGGCTCTGCATAGTCAGATGCACACTAGGTATGGTTTGGCATCAACGATATTGGACTAGCCGTCCGGTTTTTCGCATGTTGCTTGACCTAGATCTGCGAGATCGGGAGTTGTGAAGGTCAAGGTCGGTTTTCTAAGGAGCGGATAATCGGCGACCGCGACAAGTGTTTGCCCTTCCATTTTTATTTTTCTTTTGTTTGTCTCTTTCTGCTATGAGTCTTCAGAACTTAGAATTGTCACCTCAAATGTATCAAAAGTATGTTAAAACAACGTGTTTTTTTAAAGCAATTCCAATATCGTACTCCTCAGATCAAAGGCACGTAGATACTATATTCTAGTTCAGTCAACCTAATAATTTTGCCTTCTATACGGTCGGAAAACGCACACACACACACATGCACGCATCACAGTCAATTTGCGAGATTTCGATTTGTTTACATGGTTTTGATTCTTTTCGACAGTTTAAATTTGACATTAGCAAAACTTTAAAAAATGATAAATATTGTCAAAAAGTGACACAATATTTTTCTTTAACAAAATTTATTTAAAAAAAATAAGTGTTACATTAATTACTATCATTATTGAAATTATGAGACCGACAGAAAATTATTTAGTCAAAGGTACGTTTTTACCATTCACTTGTTTGCATTCTATTTATTTGCAAGCGGTTTGTTTTTTGCTTCTATTATTATTATTATTATTATTATTATTATTATAATTATTATTATTATTATTATTATTATTATTATTATTCTGTTTTTAGATGGCGCAGTACTTATAGCCTTCATCTTTCTTTTGCTTGTAAATTTCTTCTATTTTTGTCTTTCCATTCCTACTTTTGCATTTCTCATTTTTGTTGAATGTGTCGCAGTGTGCCCAAACACCACTCCCACCGTTTCTTAAACAACCCCGGCTATGCCTGCCGATAGAGAAAGGTCACGGTCCTTGTGTGCTAAAAATAGCAACGACATCCTTCCAAACTGTCAGAAACACACAAAACTCAATTTTCGCCACTAAACAAAAATAAAAGACCTTTAATTTCGAACCAAAATTAATTTAAATACAGTCAACAAACACCGAACACACTTTTGACTGTAATTAATACGGCGGAGCAGGAAGCCTCCCAGTCAAAGTCGATCAATCCCAGCAGCTGACGGGACCCAGCAGCAGTTGTTCAAACAGTCTTTTTCAGGGCTAACTTCCCAAAGTCATTCGATCACCACTTCGAGACTCCACTCACTTCACTCTTCGCTACTGCCTTCCCTCTGTGACGCCAGCACTCCTGCAGCCTTCAGCTCACTCCTGCAGCTTCCAGCACTCCTGCAGCTTCCAGCTCTCTCCTGCAGCCTTCAGCTCACTCCTGCAGCTTCCAGCACTCCTGCAGCTTCCAGCTCTCTCCTGCAGCTTCCGGCACTCCTGCAGCTTCCAGCACTCCTGCAGCTTCCAGCTCGCTCCTGCAGCCTTCAGCTCACTCTTACGGCTTCCAGCACTCCTACCGCTTCCAGCTCACTCCTGCAGTTTACAGCTCACCCCTGCGGCGCTTTACTGACGTCCCGCGTCCTATTCCAGCACCCGCTGACGACCTTATCCAGTGCCCACTGACGTCTAGCGCCCGTTATCGTCCGGACACCGTTCAAACGACCTCTGTCCTTTTTACCATCCACCGTTTGCAAATAAAGACACGATTTCCATCGTCTACAACGGACCATCTGCGTTTGTCATCCTTCTTTGCTATTGCCATCTCCTTGCCCTTGTGTCCCCTTTTTAGTTGTACGGTCGATTGGCACTCACACCTCTCGGCCCGCTGCAACAAATGTTTTCATATCTGTATGTTTCCTCCCACGGTGAAATTTATGTTTTCTTGTTACAAAAATGACTGTAAATTTGCCTGTTAGTTGCTCAAGGCATTCTAGTAAGTGAATCATTCTTAATGGTCGTTTGAGAGTTTTTGAAGTTGTGATGCATGAGTACTTAAGAATAGATTCTTAAAGGTGAAAAAATGTATTCATGAATTTCACTTGACTGGTTAAGAAATATTCAAATTAGGAATTAAAAGAATCAACTGATAACTGTAACATACTTGTTTTCTTCTTCCTTTTTTATTTTCTTTTCATTTATTAACGTGAACTGAAGAGCAAGCATTGGCTCAATAGGGAAACAAGCAGACACCTGCTAAGGTTAAAGTATTGAAGATCAATTTGAATTCTAAAATGGTTAAATTAGTTTCTATCTATCTATCTATCTTTCTTTCTTTCTATCTATCTATCTATCTATCTATCTATCTCTTTTAAATAAATACTTGTTAAATGATGAAAAATGAATCCAATATCAAAAACAAGTTTCTGTCTGAATTTCCGAGATGAGGAGTAAGCATCATTATACATTGATTTATTTGTATTGGTTTCCTTCTCTTGGTTTTATAATCCCAACGTTTTGCTCATTATAACCTTCGACCTTCTCCAGATGCTTGTCATATTTCATAATATTCTTGGAATTTCGAATTGAATACTTTATTAAATTCACGTGGTTCGACTGTTCTCATTCCGCTGTTCATGTTAGAGTATAATCTCATGTTAAGTATTTTTCACGCTAATCCATCCTTGTGATGTTACTTCTTTTCGTTCCATATGGATTTCACTGTCTGATCCGCTGACCAATCATTAAAAAGGATCCAATTGAGACCCAATAGGATCCATGCTTGCATTCTGCCAAGTAAAATGCATGCATTGTATCGGAGGAATTTTAGAGTCAGTCTCGCCTTTATATTCCCTCCCACAATTTTGGTCATGTTTTTGTTTAGCTATGTATCTCCGAAGAGTGTTGTCGTGTTCAGTCGTTATAATAATTATATGTTAAATGGTGCACAGATAAATTTTCTAAACTATGTTATTTAACAAGAAAACTCTCTTTTCAAAATCATAACAGGTGAGTAATTCTTGTCAGGGAAAAAACCAAAATAACAGCTGTCAATGTTAAACTGTTTTATTAATGTGTTAAATATAGCAAAACAAATTAATATGAATGGGAGAAGAATTGTTGTTTCTGGTATTTCAGAAGGCGCTATGCTCATATCCTGATGAACTAAAAACAGCCACGTCAAAAGTAACGATCGAGCAATTCAAGAGATAAAAATATCTAGTTCGTTGCATAAAATCAATGCGACAAAAGAATAATTTTCGGTATCGGATAAGTTTGAAGTTTTAAAGTAATGATAGCGTAAATGTTATTAGTGTTGAGGCATCATGTTACACTCGGCCTTATCGGTATTTGCTAACAAAACAATGCCGTAACGACATTTGTTGCACGAAAAGTTAATTGCCTTATTTAATATTTGATGGAGAATAAATGGAAGAAATTCAAACAATATAAAAGAGAATAAATCACACGTAAAATGTACGTTCAGCATATATATATATATATATATATATATACATACCCAAGTATATAATTGGTATATATGGAATGAATTCCAATAACCAACAATTACTATTCTTAAAAGAGTGCTCAATACAAAGTAGAGCAGATATAATTATTATTTATAAAAAAATTATAACATAAGTATGTTATAAAATCACTACAAAAATAGCCATTTTGTTTCAACGAGTGTGTTGAAACAAAATGGCTATTTTTGTAGTGATTTTTTAACATACTTATGTTATAATTTTTTATAAATAATAATATATATATATATATATATATATATGTGTGTGTGTGTGTGTGTGTGTGTGAGAAGTGACCTTATACTTCATGGGGAAGTCTACAAGTTTGATAGCACATTGTGTTTGTATCATACAATATAGTTTTGCGTGTACATCCTTAGTATGGTGATAAACTAGATCCAGCAGCAAGGCCTCTGATCAAGAAATTTTAGGTTTTGAGGAGCGCAGAACCGCCTCTTAACTGCTGTTGTTCTCAGGTCCATCCTGACCCTGGGTGGTAGCACCTGTTAGGGTCTCAGCTATGGGCAAATAGTGACCTCCCAAACAAGAATCTACAGTACATCTTTAAAGTACAATGCTCAACGATATATTTTTTATAGTAAAATGACAATCAATACAACACTAAAAAAGTATAAAAATACATTTTTATAGCAAAATTACCAGCAATATATTTTTATAAAAAATTTACAAATAATACATTTTTGTAGGGAAATTACCAGCAATACATTTTATGATCTACAAACTATATATCTAAAAATATACCTTTTACAATGAAAGGTAAAATTATGTATGAAATATTTAGATTTCGGCATTAAATAACCCATAGAAGTTGATATGCTGCTAAAGAAAATCGACAAACCAACAAGCATATACATGCACAAAATCTGAGTATCATCTACCATGAAAGCAGAATAACATCTATCATATTTTTACTACTTTAAGGCTCCCAAGAAAATTAAATTTCAGCATTAAATGACCCATAAGGAGTTGATATATCGTTAAACAAACAAACCAATCAATCATAAAAAGGTGGGTATGAGAAAATTGAATTGTTAGTGAATAGAGTAAAAAATTCGTAACGTCTTAGTAAAAAAAAAGTAATGGAATATGTTTTATCTTTTTAAAGTCATACACATTATATATCCCCGTGGTTTATAAAGGGAATAAAATGAGAAAGTAGTTTCTCATTGTCTTTGTTTTTGTGTATGTGTGTGAATAAGAGTACTTCCTGTCGCGAGGCTGAGTTCAGTCAGCATATTTCTTTTACACCGAAAATTGTATGACATGCGAGTAATGTGGTGTCTTCCGGATGGAATTTACCTTTTGTTGTCTGTTTTTTACGAATGCCTTTTTATTTGAGGAAAACTAGTTTTCCGAGAGAAAGGTTTCTGAGTGTTTGTATTGGTTGTATAACCTTCGTTTGGAGTCAGGTTATAGATTTACATCTTGCCGTCACTGTGTGAATATTTTCCGTTGAAAATGGTGGGAAACTCTTTTGATGTGCAACTTAAAAAAAATATTTCTATTTAGGAATATTGATTGGTCCAAAATGTTTTTGGATATAACAAAGAAAAAAATCCCCCTTCCTTGGATTTGATGTTGGTTATAGCTGTCAACAAGCATTAGTATCTAATATATATTTTAAGCGTTTAGTTAATGTGACTTGTCTAACTGAATTGGTTTGCGTTTTTGGTGTTGTTACAAGGTTCTTTGGATGTCCAGATGTAGTTGCCGTATTATCCCGTGTTTTTTGGATTCTGTAAAAAATCGATGTAGTCCGGTTTTAACAATTTCATTGTAACTGTATCTTAAACTTGTTTCACTTGTTAAAGAAACATTTTTTTCCTATTGAGCACTTGGTAGAGTCCATCAGAGAAGAGATTTTTTTAAAAATACGAATCTCTTTGAATGAATGTGAATTGGCTTGGGAGTGACATCTATCAGCCTGTGTATGCGTATGCGTTGAATAGTTTTTTTTTTTTTTGAAGTTTTTACTGGAAATTAGCAGATGCGTTCATGAAAAATTTTCCTGGCAGCGTCAACTGTGTCCCATACATCAGTTTTTCTCTAGTGAATTGGGCTTACGTTTGCAGTTAGAGATGTTTTAAATTGCCAGTGGGAATTTCCCCCTACTCATTGGCACCGGGATGTTTAATGCCTAACGGAATTGTTAATTCTTCAAAATGTATTGATGTGACACTATGTATGGGACAGTGGGATTCCCAAGTAGAAGAAGAAAGTGTGATCTTATCTCGATCTCAACTGTTTCTGTTTTATGACCAAAATATGTTGTTTTTTTTTTTTTGAAGTCGAGTTTTATACGCGGCATATACTTAACCAAAGAGGAAGAAATAAATAAGCGAAAAAAAGCATTTGGGGTCATGCGACAACAAACTAGACATTGATTATTTCTGTTTGCTGGTCTATATTAACAGCCATGATTGGGATCGAGGGAATAAGTTTTGGTCAACCTTTGGCGGGAGACAGACTGTCCTTCGCGTAGTTTTGATACCGCCAGTGCGATTTACCAACCACGCGGAGGGATGAGTAGATGGTCAAGGATTTGCTAGGGGTAAGAGATCTATAAGACTGACATAGATGAAAGGGTTGTAAGTGTTATCTACCTACCCAACCAAACTACACCAAGCGAAGATCTGAAGAAAAAGACCTATTTTATAATATTAAAATCAGTGTTCGCGTTCTCATTTCTCGACGTCGCATTTGTTTCCATTTTCGTTATTTTGCAGCAAGCCTTTGCCAGTTTTCAGTGCACGCCGATATGAATGAGAACAGAAAAGTGACCTGCGAAATTCATTGTCCAGTCGGTGGAAAGCTCGACAATGGCCGCCTTGTATATTTACAATGACCGGATTAATGGTCCTCGGTCTGTTGTAATTCTCGCCGATATACCAATGTAGCTTAATTCCGTCTGTCGTTTGTCTCTTTCCTGTTGCTCATTACCAGCATGGCACATTTTTCAATGCCAAATGACTTTCCAACTTCATGATTGAAGATTCTGAACGTGTGTATGAAAGTTTCTAGTTTCTTTTTGTTTCTGTCAAAAATGTTCATCATTGTGACCATTTTTGTATGTTTATCAATCTATGACCATGGTTACATTTCCTTAATCTACTTCTATTCGAAGATGGTTGCTTTTTTTCAGGCATTTGTATTGTTATTGTGATAGTGTCTCATAAAGATTCATGAATCGTTTGAAACAAAAGCCATGGATCCCATCATGGCCAGATACTTTCTTTGTGGATTCTTTTTAAACGGTTCATTTCAAAGTTTTCAATTTCCGTCCCTTATTGCTTTTAAAGCGTAAAAGAGAATCATTTACGTAAATTTCTTATTTCAGCTTCAAAAAAGAAAAAAATGTTTTCGTACTATATCTTGCATATAAATAATTTGTTATTATAATTTTCTCCAATTTATTTTTGTTTCTAATAGCAAAACGTTTATAAACATTGATTTTATTTTTATCTACAGCGTAGAGTGTTTTCTTATCTTTTCTTTTCTTCTGGGATTCATCTCGTTACAAAGAAAAGCACAATTCTTGTTCAATGAGATTAGTGCTTGTAAAATTTACTTTACATGCACCGTAACAACGATTTTCTAATAATTTCTAATGAGGTTTTCTAACAACCAGAATTATAACCTGAAGTCTTTATCAGGAAACTGAATTTAAATAAATGATCAGCTTTTTCAGATCAAGTGCTCTTGTTTGGCGAAAACACTGCTCCACACGATGAGAAGATTTAGCAGAGTACATCAGAATCAAATGAGATCAAAACCTGTTCGTGAAATTAAAATCATCGAAACGAAACTGACATTTTTTACACGCTTATCCT